AGTCATGGACTGACCTCCAGTCAACATCATTGAAGCAGTGTGGGATCACCTTGACAAAGAAAGGAAAAAAAGGCAGCCAACAACCAAAGAACAGCTTTGGATGTGCATGAAGAAGCCTGGAGAACTATTCCTGAAGACTACTTAATGAAATGACATTAGATAGTTCAGATTGTGTTGAATAATAAAGGTGGTCAAACCCTGTATTGATTTTCAAACTCATTTGAATTGTACAAACTCTGTTTTTGCCTTATATACAGTATTTAAATTTATGATCGCGCACGTTTCAATAAATCAATGTAACTATTTCAGATTTTTTTGAAGAAACAATGAGTGGCTCAACACCTTTGCACAGTACTGTATGTATTTTTCATTCTGAAATATTAGTTTACAGTTTTTTCTTACCTCCTACATGCAAACAGTTTAAAAAGCAGGGAATTTTTTGCCCACGAGTTTCAATGCTGGTAATGAAAGGCAATGCAGACCACAGGAGTTTGTAACACCTTTTGGGAAAACGTAGAAATACTATTCCAGTGTGAGCGTTCAGATATTTAACTAAAAGAGGGGAAAAGACAAAAAAAATTAAAAGTCAAACGACATTCCAGCAACATTAGCACGATGTCAAGAAGAATGTCGTCACCCCAGAAGCTAAAAAGTTTAATTTTACTTGACCAGCTTCCACAGGCAAACATTACGAACAGCTAAATACATTTTAAAACTAACTTTAGTGCTGATGCTTATTTGAACAACTTTCACTGGTATTTTCAAGTGTTGGCGTTTGATCCTTGGAAAGTATCTAAAACTTCTTACCACAAAATCTAATGCTACACATAGCGGCCCCATAGTCCCCGTGTGTGCGGGCTACCGCTGCCTTCACTGCCACCATAATTGCTCGGTCGTCGAGCAGCAACAGCTGGCTCCTGTCCGACACGTTGACTTCGCATAGTAAATACCTGCGGCAGAATATGTAGCGTCAGAAACTAGGAGCACACACGCTAGAGGAAACAGTATACGAATTGCACGTTTTACCTCGACTTCAGCCGCACCATCGCTGCTTTACTCTACTTCCGTCGGAACTTCCGTCAACAAAACTCGGACAAGCGCACTAGCGCCACACGCTGGAAAGAAGTATGTAATGTATATTCGACACTTACATGGGCGCTGCACGGATTTACAGATACCAGTCCAACAACACATCCGAACAAAAAAAATAAAGGGTAATATATTTCAAAAGCGGAAGAACTGGTAGATAGGTGGCTTTCAGAAAAGATAAAACGGTCGTCAAATCAGATCACTCCTGTGTGTTAGAAGCTAAACAACGCAAGCAGCTCACAAGGAAACGGAAAGGCCCGGAAATTAAACCATTCTCACCCCTGGGGTAACTATGGCAACCTCCATCGATCTTAGCCAATCACAACCTCGCGTTACCATCTCCCTAACACGTTTCACGCCATCTTGAGATTACCTCCTAGTTTGTTAA